AAACTGTTCGTTCTGCCAAGTATCTTGGGGTCATGGTAGACAGCAAGCTTAGCTGGCGGGATCAGATCTTCCGAACAGCGGACAAGGCCGCTAGGGTGGTTTCTTCTCTTAGCCGGTTGATGGCCAATGTCGGAGGGCCTCGGTCCAGTCGTAGAAGGCTGTTAATGTCTTCGGTCCAGTCCGTACTCTTGTACGGTGCAGAGGTGTGGGCAGACGCACTAAATAAGGAGGCATACAGGATGCGGCTCGCCCGAGTGCAGCGTCAGGCAGCACTGAGGGTAGCATCTGCCTACCGAACAGTGTCCGAGCCCGCCGTCCTGGTGATTGCTGGAGTCATCCCCGTCAAACTTTTGGCGGCGGAGAGAAAGGCAATTTACCGGCGCCGTGGGGAGGACGAGGCACGAACAGAGGAACGCACCCGCACCTACCAGCTGTGGCAGGAGGGCTGGGAACAGGAGACACGGGGACTCTGGACCAGGCGACTGATACAGCAAGTCCAACCTTGGGTTGATCGGCGGTACGGAGAGGTGGACTTTTACCTCACCCAATTTCTGACGGGACACGGCTTTTTCCGGTCGTACCTGTTCAGGATGGGCAAAGCCGTGTCTCCCGACTGTATATACTGCCCAGGCATTCTCGATGACGTGGAACATACATTTTTCCACTGCCAGCGCTGGGAAAGGCCCCGCCTGGAGGCTCAACAGTTAATAGGACTGCTGTCGGTGGACACGGTCATACCGATTATGACGGAGGGTGAGGACAATTGGACCTGTGTGTCACATTATATCCAGGGTATCCTCCGCGCCAAGAAGATCGACCTTGACTGGGATGCGGTGTAGGTCATAAAGAATCAAAATGCCAGAAACGGTGCGAGCCCTGAGGGCTTAGGTCACATGTTGGCCTGACTTGAAGTAATGTGACAAACAATTCCAGGTCTGTGTCCAACAGAGTAGAGGGGGTTTTTTAGTGAGTAGTCTGATAATTTCAGGAGTCTCACACTACAGGCTGGCTACCTGTGTGCGTAAAAGCATTTTCCCTCCTCTCCCTAAAAAAAAAAAAAAAAAAAAAACAAGCATAGGAAACGTTAAATACATCCTGATTGTCATCGACATATTTACTAAATTTGTTAAATTATACCCCATGCAACGAGCAACGACCGATATAATCCTCAATAAATTATTCCAACTACATTTTCCTCAATATGGTTACCCAAACCGTATCCAAACTGATAAAGGGACACAGTTCAAAAGTTTAAAGTGGATAGATGTAAGGTACCAAATTTAAAGGGGGGTAAAAACGTACTGCGAATAAATGAACACCAGAACTTACCCAATTTTTAACCACAATAGCCTACCCCTAGGTCTATGTGTTGGCCATAGCTTGGGCTATAGGCCAAAGAACGTAGGCTTATTTTTATTCACAGTGAAGTACACAAACACATCCACAACTACATATTTATTCATAATAGCACTTCGTTTCACCAAATAACGTTAAACCGACCGACTTTACGAATATTTAACGCCGACGACGACATAACCCCAAACTGGTGTTTATTTGTTGACAGACGACAGACGAAACTAGACCAGCTCAACAAGTGAATTCGATCAGCTGTTATCTAGTAGTACTAAAGTTCGCCGCTTGAGCGCGTAAGCCTCAAGCGGGCAGGAACGAAGGATTTTACTCCAAGACAGGATTTTTCGTTCGTACGCCGTCTTCGAAGTAACTTCGTCGTTACATTCGCCTGTTATCAACGCTTGCACGATCATGGATAATTTGATTACCGAAGGTTAGCTATATTAGATAATCACATTACTACGATTTACGTTTAAATTTCCGTTTAACATTCGTATTCCCGTTTCCAAATTCGATTTTCAATAACTAAATTTAATAACGTAAATTTTGCCGACTTGATTCTCGACCCGCCAGTTCCTGCTTGCCAGTGACTAGCGGTGATTATCGTTTGGTTTGATTTAAACCAGTTAGTTTCAAAATTACGATTTCTACGAATGATTATTACGTACGTTTATTCTAATTAGTTCGCCGTTTTAATGCTCCGAGACTTGTCGTCTGCGTTCTAAACCCCGTCTTTGGCGGGCGAGAGAACCTAGTCTTATGAGTAGGCTGATTTGAACAATCAAACAGTCACGAATATTAATATTAAATCTATTTTAAATCATCCCACGATAAATTCTCCATTCGATTATATTAATTAGGCCCGACGACTCTGTAGGAATTGCTTTTTACCTTTTATTCGATATTATATTATTTACCAACGTCCTTAGCCAGATAGTTTACAGTTTAATACGAGTATTTATATCACATTGGCTTAAGATTGAATACTCGTCGGCCCTACAGAGTCATTCTAAAAGTTAGGCAAAATTCTCCAAAACACTTTTACGAAGGCTGGGATGATATAGCTTCAACTGAGCGTCTGCAGGATTTCCTGAGCGCTTCTAGAGCTCTGAGCCTTCGATTAAATTTTAAATAAATTGATCAGTCAAAGCCGTGACAACTTCGTATCGACCCCTGGATTTTTCTCGGCTCCTTCTGAGCACTCCGGGGAAGAAATTCGAGTGTGGCCGGTTCTAGGGGTAGGCCTAGCCTGACTTAGTGAATACTAGTTTATTCCCCCCCTAGAATTTTGCGTCACATAGAGAAAATGGAAGCCAACAACATTACTCTAGTATTCAGTTCTGTATACCATCCCTGTATCCCCCAGATACAGGGATGGTATACAGAATCACCTTTTGTTTGCAAATTAGCTGTTGTCATAAATGTAAAAGAAATAATAGTGCTGCACCCTGTTGGTAATCCTTGTAACTTGCTATTGAACATCATAGAACAGAACCAACTTGTTTAATTGAAACAGCTGTTAAGATTCATTAATTCCATTTCTCATAGGGTTAACATGGGAAACTCCAGAGCCACTGGGGCGGAGCCCTTTTAAGAATTTCGAAATGGGAAATAGTTTACGTCCGATTCGCATACCTACAGAATTTACACACCAAATTTCATAACGATCGGTGAAGTCGTTCCGGAGGAGTTTGCAGACAAACACTGTGACACGAGAATTTTATATATTAGATTTGTTTGTTTGGCAGTGATAAACTCAGACACCGCTGAACCGATTGCCACGAAACTTGCTACATACGTGTAGAATGTCATGGAATAGGTTTATACACCATCAATTTCGTGATCCGTCCAATCGGCTCCGCCCCAGTGGCTCTGGAGTTTCCCATGTTAACCTTATGAGAAATGGAATTAATGAATCTTAACAGCTGTTTCAATTAAACAAGTTGGTTCTGTTCTATGATGTTCAATAGCAAGTTACAAGGATTACCAACAGGGTGCAGCACTATTATTTCTTTTACATTTATGACAACAGCTAATTTGCAAACAAAAGGTGAGTGAGCGTAGCGAACGAACTTCAACCTGGAGGCGAGTTAGCGTAGCGAACGAGCTAACCTGAAGGCAAGTGAGCGCAGCGAACGAGCTCCAACCTAAAGGTGAGTGAGCGTAGCGAACGAGCTCCAACCCAAAGGTGAGTGAGCGTAGAGAACGAACTTCAACCTGGAGGCGAGTTAGCGTAGCGAAGGAGCTAACCTGAAGGCAAGTGAGCGCAGCGAACGAGCTCCAACCTAAAGGTGAGTGAGCGTAGCGAACGAGCTCCAACCCAAAGGTGAGTGAGCGTAGCGAACGAACTTCAACCAGGACGTGATTGAGCGATGCGAACGAGATCATCTTGAAAATTAAACGTAACGGTACTTTCTTTCCATCGGTCTGTCTTAGGGGAAACCTATAACTTAGGCGATACGAAGTTCGCCGGGTCAGCTAGTATATATATATATATATATACAAACATCCTCTTTTATACTTATAGATACAATTTATGGTGAAATAAAAGGGCTAGTTCCTTTTCTCTTAAAATAATTTAAGGAAATTCTGGCTCATTGTGACATTAAGCCGAATTACTGTTTTTTAAGAGAAGCAATGATGCAACGATTTTATGTGTATTCGACATAGCCCCAATTATATTAATTAATCACTGGATATTTTGTTAGTAAAAAAAAAACAAATTCCTAAGAATTTTTTATTTAATTTTGATTTGAAATTTTAAAAGTTCATGATCTTTCTGTAATAATTATTATAACAATTGTATCGAATGTATAATCATTATACATTATAAAAAGTACAACTTAGCTACGTTAATTAATTGTAAACTTTATAAGGATCCTACAATTTCTCAACCATATTGCATTTTCAGAACAAACGCTAAAGGCCTCTATTTCAGGCAAATATAGCTTGCTGGTCGTCTTTTCCTTACTATATAGAATTTATAGCTAATGGCCTTATTTCCCTGCTTACTTCAAGGTGGCCTCCTTCCCCTGATTTTTATCCTGGACGCCTTTTAGTGTTTTGAGTGATATATAACGTGTTAAAAAAAAATTAAGTATGACATTTGAGGTTGACATATATAGAAGCGGGAACATCAATGGATAGCAATTCTGCAATCACATACGCTTTTGAGGTTGTATCCTATGAATATAGATGGGGGGTCCCCCTGGCCGCTTCTCAAGGCTAATATAGAATGGCCGCCTTTCCCTGCAGTAATCCAGAGAGCTAAGATCACTATACACGGACCCAGGTATTGTTGCAATAGTTAAAGGAACAAGACTGTATGATGTTTGGAGAGCCACACCTGGAGACGTCCATTGGGAAGGCCAAAATAGAGGTGGACTGACCAAGTATTGAATGACATCAGGACAATGGGTGCAAATCTCAACTTGGCAGAAGACAGAGAAGGGTGGAAGAGGCTGGTACACGAGGCGAAGAATCAACTGAGATTTGTGGAGCCACGGCAGTAAGTATGTTTACATAATATATATATATATTATACAGTACGTTTATGACTAAAATTATTACTTTTAAAAACACTAAATACAAAAAAGAATAGCATCATAAATATGATTGGTAGCCCAGTTTAAAATAAGAAGCATTACCTGTGGTAATGCTTGCTCTTCTCAACTGTTGGTGGATTGGAGCAGAGTTTGCAATCACACCAAACGATGAACGACTTCTCCTCTCTATTTTGTCCACGAGGAGGTGGTATATTGCACTCAGGTGGTCGAATGAATTCTCTGCTAATGACTGAAACATGCATAATCATTCTACTAAATTACACCTTTTTTAATGATCAAGAGGATTTTTCTCTCAAGACGTAGAAATCTTGCTAAAGTTGTAGATGATTTTAAAACTTTTATTATATTTCAACCAGTAAAGGGTTTGAAAAACAAAATTATTACATAGCTAATACAAGAAATGTGAGATAGTTTTACAATTTTCATTAATTATGTACTTACATGCGCCCCAAAAGGCAGGAGGCATCCAGGGAGACCAAAATATATAGACGGAACTGACGGAAGGAACAATAAGGTACAACAGGACTTAAGGGAGATGAGAAGAAATGAAGAGCCAAGGCTAAACCAAAGGCAATGTACCATCTAGGTTCATAATGGGATAAAGATTTAATATAATATGGTGTTTTCAAGTAAAGAAAAAATACAGCAATATAAATTCTAACTAGCCAATTTGGGATTTTTGGGATCGTGAAATCTTCCGCCGACATGTAGACATCATCATTGACTGTCAAGGTTACGGAAAAGTCATCGTCGTCGTCCGTGATCACGGCAAAAACGTTTCCCCCGGCCGTGTCGACTTCATCGTCATCTCCTGCAGTCCCGGAAACGTCATCCCCGTCGTCCACGATCACGAAAAAATCATTAACATTTCCCACGCCCGTGTTGACGCTATCGTCGTAGTCTACAATCGTGGCAAAATAAAGTACTTTTCCCGTCGTCACGAAAATGTCATCGTCGTCGTCCGTGATCACGGCAAAAACGTTTCCCCCGGCCGTGTCGACTTCATCGTCATCTCCTGCAGTCCCGGAAACGTCATCCCCGTCGTCCACGATCACGGAAAAATCATGAACATTTCCCACGCCCGTGTTGACGCTATCGTCGTAGTCTACAATCGTGGCAAAATAAAGTACTTTTCCCGTCGTCACGAAAATGTCATCGTCGTCGTCCACGATTGCGGCAAAATCATGAACATTTCCCGCGGCTTGTAGACATCATCAACGTCACCCACGGTCCGGGAGCGTCATCGTCATCGTCCGCTATTGTGACAAAATCATGAATATTTCCCGCAAACGTGTAGACATCATCGTTTCCCACGGTCACGGAAGCGTCATCGTCGTTGTCCGCGATCCCTGCAAAATCATGAATATTTCCTGCAAACATGTAGACATCATCGTCACGGAAGTGTGATCGTTGTCGTCCACGATCGTGAACATTATGAAAAATTATGAAATCATAAAATTATGAACATTTCCCACGGCCGTGTAGACATAGCACAACTAATAATAAAACAGCTGGTTTTTTCTTAGATATTAGTAAGGCATTTGATACTATCAATAATGTTTTGCTCTTGATGCCTAACAGTATTTGCTGATGATTCAGCATTGTCATATTGTCCCAGCACTTTAGATGAGCTTCATCCCTTCATCGCATAATGCAGGATGATCTACATAAAATATCACTTTGGTTCAGTTACAAAAAACTTTGTCTAAATGTTTCTAAAACAATCTTTATTAATTTTTCTTTATCCCAGTCAAAAGTTTTTAATGCACCTTTAATCTTAAATATTAAACAAGACAGGGTTTTTTTATTTCACGATTCTGAATCAACCACTTGACGGATTTTCATGATTTTTGTGTTGAAAGAAAGATAATTTTGAGAACTAGGGAATGTTGAAGCCATAATTTTAGTTTAGGGTTTCAGTTTTTTTAGAAATTAAGTTTACAATTTTTTAAAGTCTAGCAGCCGATGCTAACATTCTGCTCTAGCTTTTGGTATAGTACCATTTGCTTAACGTAACAGCTGTAAACATTCAGCGTTTTCGGCACAAGTTCAGCATTTGGATGAAAATGAAATGACATACGTAGAATTGACTTATTTATACTATATGTAATGCTGTAATAATTGATACGTTCATTTATTCGGTAAGAGGATGAGAGTTTATTTAAATATACATAGTAAGATACTAGATGTTCTAATTGTTTATTTTTTTGAGCAATCTTTAAAATATTTAGTTTGTTTTAGGGCAATATAATTTGTTATAACTAACAGCTGGCTGAATAATAGTTTATTTACTCTGTGATTTTGTCATTGATTATAGGAAATAAGTAAGATTCTATAACCATTGCTGTATACAAAGCAAACCTAAGTACTCACTAAAATTAATGTTAATTAAATAGGAAATAAATCTAACAATTTATAGGGAATATTTTAGTAGAAATCTAGCCAGGTAAATGGAAATTCGCTTAGTCTGCAGGTTTGCTGCAGCGATGGTATTATTACAATTTTTTGTTAAATTGTATGGTAAAAAAATCAGTAAAATGTTTGGTATTCTGATATTCAATTAATCACAAAACTTTCTTATTTATCTATCTTTAAAATAGTGTATTAACATTAGGGAAGTTATGTTGGGATGAAGTGCAGCTATTCGTTAAAAACCTAGTAAAGGTGCAGCATTTGGCTTGATGGGGTTAATGCTAAAATACCTAACGTATAACTGTATACCATTAATTTCTCATTACAAAATACAAAATACATTGACTTAATCAGCTGATTGGGAATTGGATCTATTATAACAAAGTTCATTAGTTTCGTTATGATCAATTATTAAGATTGTAAACAAAGATCTGATAAGCCTTTATGTGCTCCGAACCAACTACCGTTGACTACGATAGTAAATTGAAAGGAATTTATTATTTTAATAGTTTGTACCGAACCTTTGTACCGCGTAAAATGCTATGCTGAACAGATGATAGTAATTAAGCCAGAACCGTACTGTACCGACTTTTTCGGTGCACCGCAGACCCCTAGATAGGACACACTCTGCGCAAGGATCAAGACGCCGTAGAAAAACAGACTTTGAGCTGGAATCCCCAGGGACAGAGGATGAGAGGAAGGCCGAGAAAAGAACGGAGGAGAACAATTGAAGCCAAAATCAGAGAGGTGGGAAAGAGCTGGAGAGAAGTTAAGGCATTGGCTGCTAATCGAGTCCTTTGGCGCTGTTTCGTAGAGGCCCTATGCTCCGCCGAGGAGTGACAGGAATTAAGTCAAGTCAAACTCATCATTGAGGAGGTCGAGGGTTATAAACTTTTTACCACTTCCTATTTTCGTGAATAGTTTGTCATGAGTAGGCAGAAGAAATGTTTTACTAATGCTTGATTTATCCAGTAGAAAAATCAGGGCAAATTCTTATACTTCCATTCGGTTTCCTGACTAAACACAAGGGGCAGCCTACTCAGGATTATCCATTTCTTCGAGAACACCATTGTTAATTAGATGGTCAAGTTCTTCTCTAAATTTATCACTACGAGCTAGCGGAATAGGTTTAGCCTTTTAGAAAACTTGTATGGCGTCCTTCTTTATTCTTTAGATATAGTCGTGCTGATACTGTTGAACACTTGCCGTCTCTTGGAGTAAAAACATCCGAGTATTCATTGCATTGTTTAATTAATTATTTCTCAGTGTTTTGAACCAGTAATGCAGGTTGTGTTTGGTTTGATGATGAATCATGTTAACTTACAGGGGACTGGGTATGCAAGATAGGTTGAAATATCCAATCCATTCCCAGTATGTTGTGTCAAATGCCAAATGCAACATGGAGATTGAGTATGCGTTTGATTTCTCCAAGTGTTACCCATACACTGACTTCACCCAGTAACTTGATAGATTGTCCTGTGAATGATGTAAAACATATTGAGCTGGTGTGAAGAGTAGGCTTACTTATATTTTCCCATGTTACTTAAGATACTATCGTTACACAACTGCCGGTATCGAATTGCATTGATACGGGACACTCACTGACATAACATCACAAACACCCCCAACTGAATTAAAGACGAGTCACCAGGTGGATCCTGTTTTGTTTCGAAATAATTCTCAATAACTGTTTTAACAGATTTCTTACTTTTGCATACTCTCGTAATATGTGTTTTACTCCCGCATATAAAGCAAACAGGATTTTTGATCCTGCAGTTACTTTTCAAATGTTTGCCTCCGCATATGAAGCAAGAACCCATAGTAATAGCATAGCATACATCTGATTGATTAATTTGTAAACTACCCGAAGCAACTTGAATGCATGAGAGGATATCACATAATTCAACAAATTGCGTCCCTTATTGGAAAAATCCAGGATATAGTAAAATATTTTGTTTTAAGGTCCTAAATGTGTTTAGTGGTATGTATTCTTGAAAGTTAAATAAAAAAACTGCATATTAATGTGATTTTGAGTTATTTATAGGACCAAAAATACCTCCTTTTTCCTGGCCTTCCCCTGTCCCAATCACATTTTTGTCGTTTATACCTATATAAAACTTACTGCAATACTAAAGCTTTCCAAATGGAATATAAATTGGTCCAAAAACATTGTAGATTACTTTTAAGAATGAATCTTGCTAAGTTTCTATCCTACTCATCGGTTGTGTCCATACTTGGGAATAACGAATAGAAATTCTATAGAATAGCACTATTCATTAGTTTTTTTGGCTATTTTTAGTTTATTTAGTTTTATTGGCTATTTAGGTTATTTAGTTTTATTGGCTAATTTTTTTTACCTATAACTAAAGCTAAAAACTAAAAATCATGCTCATCCTGCATATTTATATTCCAAATTGATCTTGTTTCCAGGCCATTCCCCTTCAAATCCTGACCGTCCCCCTAACAATTATCAACAATTTAAATATTTTAAAGCAGCTTAGGTACGAAAACATTTGTTTCAATATTGCACTACACGTAGGCATCTGGCATACTAATAAAATTGAATTATATAACTTTTTCCTTGGGTATTACTTCAAATTGACAAAAAAAATAAGTTTTTAGCGAATTTCCCATTTAGGGAATAAGCTAATACCATAGGTCTCATGGTAAGACCCAGACCCGGACCGATTTACTTTTTTGTTTTTAGGTCCCCAGAGGCCAAAAACACCGTCCGTTCAAATACATATATATTAGGGATGGACGGGATTTTTATTTTCTTCCCGATTTTCGGGACAGGATTTTTACCTGTGCATAAAA